TTGTGAAATGTTGTTGAGCTGTTATATACGAGTGCCTTCATGATATGCATGTGGTGTTCCACCTATACGGTAAGCCTGAGTATGTAGTACATACAATAGGGTGAGGCTGTGGGTGAGGTGCAAGCGGTGTTCCTTGTACTAACTGTAGGTAATAGACGTATTCCTGCATTTCTCTAGCCAGTAGAATAGTGATAACACACATGACATGAATATCTGTTGCACTGCATAGTTTTGGAACTTATATTGGAATTACTGCTTTTGAACTTATATTGCACATGTAAGTGGGCTTGGGGTGGAAGATCCTTGAGGTCCCCTTGTCTTACTGAGGTTTCATGTTTAGAGATCTCTCCCCACGTTTGGGGACGCTTATTTCAGGTTCAGGTAACCCAGGGGTTGAGACCTATAGTGGCAGGAGGCCAGAGCTGAGTTAGATATTGCTGTTAATTGCTGACATGTTGGATGCTGGATATGCCTGTTGCTTTTATGCTTTTAGATTCAGTTATTATTATGTCGTTGCTGTTGAGACTGCTGTTGGGCTTTGTTGCCCTATTTGGTGAGCATGGGGTTTGTCCATGCCACATTGATTGACGATGTCTTGTTTTTAGTTTTGAGTTGTAATAATGTATCAGGATTATGTTCGAACTATATGTTGTAGATCCGTGACTTTAGATACTCACTATTATTCTATGAGGTATTTCAGTTAGCTGTCTTTGCAATTTACATACAGGCGATATTTTTATGAAATGGATTAAGAAATCAACTTGACTAAGATTAATGACGTCATAATTGAACAGAAAAAAGATATTCCGCATTTTTAATTAAGCGTGGCTTAATACGATGACATGTTAACAAATCGGGTATACACGGGATGTTAAACCTACCGACTTGCCTTACCTCCGAACTTGGCCAACATCGACGACGTGTTTCACGTGTCTCAGCTTTGGAGATATATAGCGGATCCTTCGCACGTGGTGCAACCAGATGATGTTGAGGTTCAGGAGGACTTAAAGACTCCCGTCGGACCACTCAAGACTCTCGATCGTGGCGAGAAGAAGCTTAGAAGCAAGATCATTCCCATGGTCAAAGTGCAATGGGAAGGAAGAACTCCTGAGGAGTGTACGTGGGAGCGAGAGGACAAGCTTCTCCGACAATACCCCAAGTTTCGGGACATGTATATTTATGATTTTGCGAACAAAATCCTTAAAAGGTGGGGTGAATGTAAGAACCTGCACTGTTAAATTAGGAATTTAAATGAGTAATTATGAAATTAAGAAAATAATTACATAATTGACCTTAAATAAATATTGTAAGGTTAGAATAATTATCACAAGGGATTAATAATGCTTAAAGTCATTTTTCTGACTAAGAGTGCAGATACCGGTTCTGCTTCACGGTATAAAAGTGTACCGATGAAGTATACCGAAAAATTATAATAAGTGTATGAATATTCCTAGAATAATATATATGACTAGTATGTTAAGTTTGGAGTCAAAATAATGAGAACTGGCGTCAGGACTGATATCGGCTACGTACAAGCGCGTACTGGCAAAGTGCTGCGAAAATTATAATAAAAATATGATAAATCATAGAAAAATGGTTAGGTTCAGAATCCAAAATTTGGGATTAAAATGATTAGCGGAGCTATTATTGCTAATACTGACACTTAAAACTTAATGAGGCTATAAATACACATTTACACAGAACGCTAGGCTAATCTTTCAGCCTTCTACGTGAGAGTTCCCTATTGCTTTTCTCTCCAATCTGGTCACCTCCTTCCCCTCCTCTTGTGAGCCAAAGTGAGCACTTTTTGTCCTAGTTTCTTCATCTAATCACCATAACTTGGTGTGAGCAATCTTGTGAAGGTGAGAGTCAGCCCATTTTCTGACTTTTGGTCCCTGCTTAGTGGTGGTACAGGGGCTGAGTTCTTGAGTTTCTTGGAGGGAGCCATTGTAGAGGAAGAGTGAAGTTTGACATGATATTACAGCCTCTAAAACTAAGACAAAATAATCATGAGTTCAGTCCTGCTTATCCTATTCTAAATAAAATATTTAGCTAAAGGTTGGGTGAATGTATGCATTACTCATGATTCAATTTCGAAAAAATTCTTGTAAAGGGTTGTTTTAAATATATAACCAGTCATGAGACTCTGCTTAAGGGAAATGGTTCATGGCACAGTATAGTGGGTGGAAGCAATTGATTAGGGCCAAAATTATTCTAAATCTTAAGGATATGATTTCTTTTTTATTATTTTGTAGGCGATAAATCTAAAGCAGAACTTCTTCGAACAAAAGGAAGGTGAACATGAAAAAAAGCTTGAGATTAAACAACTTGCAATATTTTCCTTCGTTCTTATCCTAATGCACATCCATGGCAATGAAGGTCGAAAGTCCAAATTCATCCGCATACAACTAAGCATCTCGCAGTTGCATATGCTAAACCAACAGCTCAGATAGGTGGGGCCTAACGAGATCATATGCTCAGAACATCATGGTCTCCACTTGAGTCAATGACTATATGACAACACCAGCTTGCCATGACAAGGATGTAGCCAGACCATAGGCATCTCGCCTATAATGTAGCCTGTGAAAGACTATAACTCTCCATCATTGAGATTGGACGTCGCCAATCAAAGGCGGCATCAACAAAGACACCCCTCTACATCATGGTCTCCATCTTTTTCTCAATACTTGAGATATGTGAATAGTGAAACATCCTGAATCCTTGAATACCTGGTCTCTGTCTCCTCCAATCTCTAGCCTAATCTTCTCGCCAAATACCCTTCAACCCTTCTTTACATCAACAACACCAGCCTCAACTGTATGTGATCCAGCCAATAATTTTTGTATTAATCAACTACTATTAAACTTGTCTCTCTAGTCATGCCTATTATAGGACTAAGTTTTGTGTATTTACATGTCTTTCCTATTTGTTAAAGTAAGGGTGTTTATAATTCATAATTAAAACAATTTAACTTGAATAAAAATATTCGAAATGGAAAATTAAACAAAAAAATTAACTTTCTTTTAGTAAATTTTTTATGTGAAAATTAATTAATTTAGTTTTCATTTTTATTTTATTTATAAAACTGCAAAAAAAAAAAACCAAATAAAACTTGCATAATTATACATTACTGCAATTGAATTTCATACAATGAGATTTTAAATTTTTTAGTTTTTTTATTACTTACATGCATTCATAGTTGCTCATTTACTTTTCAACTTTTTTTTTTCTTTCCAAATCATGATTAATTATTTGGCATTTGTAACAACTTCGGTATAAAAGTTTTCATATCGAATAGTATTAGTGAATTTACCACACACAAAAAATAGTATTAGTGAATTTGTAAACATAATAGTAGATATTAAAAAGCACGAATAAAATAAAAATTATTATTTTTTAAATATTTAATATATTATTTCCATTTTAGTGTGCAAGCAGTCATATATTCTACGTATATTAGCATATTTAATAAGGGATATGATACTCTACTTATCATTTTTACAGTCTATCTTTGCCTAATACTCTACAACATCATTAGATCAAAATCTTAAAAAGAGAGAGAAATATAAATGTTAGTTAAGATTATGATCTAATGGTATTTTTGTATGGTAGGCAAAGGGAGGCAGAATAATCTATCCCATTTAACAATGGGATAGATATTTTGCCTACTATTTTTTTTACTTACCACTCTCCAACACCATTAGTTCAGAATCCTAAGAAGAGAGAGAAATATAAATGTTAGTTAAGATTTTGATCTAATGGTATTTTTATATGATAAACAAAGGTATGTAAAAAAAAGAGGTAGCAAAATAACTTATCCCATTTAACAATGGGATAAAATATCCTACCTACTAAGATGCATTTTTAAACCCAGTCATTAATTTCTGTCCTTTGGGATGCGTTGACGCATTCATCTCTCAAACAAATTTGTTATTATATTAATTAGTTAATTATTTGCCTATACAATAATTACATACGACATACAAATTCAATAATAGAAAAATTTATATTTTAATAAAATTCTAATAATAATTACTGCATAACTCTGTTAAAATAAAAACCATATATATATACTATTTCCATTATTTACTATACAGCTACTATATAAATCTCCAATCAGATAAGCACCATCTATCAAATAAAGAATCATATTAAATGTAAATTAAAATATAGATTTAGTTGTATTTTTAAAAAAGTTTTTTTCCTTAAAAAACCAATTGTTCTGAATTAAGTCAAGTCAAATCAATTAAAATTAAGCTTGTATGGATGGTTCTTCGATTAGAAACAAACTGATTAGTTTTAAATGTCTAAAAACTAATTGGTTGTTTTAGGATAATATTTTTTTAATTTTAAAATCTCATCAAACCAAGGGAGTTCGGGAATTTCCATGAAATTTTTTGCTATTTATTAAAAATTAAAGAAGTAAGTTAAAAATTGCATGAATGAATCATTAGAGGGTTAAGATTTAACTTGACAAATTCAATGAATATTACAGTGCGCATGTAACTCACTCATTGTTTTTTTTTTTTTAAAAATTAAGAGTATTTTTAAATAAAATTTATTTGTTTTAATGAGGAAGTAAGAACGTATTCACCTTTATTTAATTTAATTTAAAGTACATTATAATAATGTACCAAAAAAAGTACATCATTTAAAATTTAAAGATTAATATATTTTACTTCGGAAATGATCCTTTCATGTGAGAAATTCACATGTAAAACATTTTTTTCTTTATTATTGTCGAGAAATTATAACCGGACCCCCCATTTAATACACGTGAAGATAGAAAAAAAACAAAAAACAAAAAATTCACAGATCATATGAATTTCTAACACGTGAGATCCACTTCCATCTTATTTACTTTAAAACAGTTTTTTTTTTTTTTTTTGACCTTTTAGGCAGTGAAAAAGCCATATATATTTGTTCTGCAAGAAAAAAAAATAATGCATATGTAGATAGGAGTCACAGTCGGCTAAAAGGTAAGAGTGAATCCATTGACAATGGTGGCGTGGCCTGTGATCATGCTTGGAACGTTTGCACTGAGAACATTTTCAAAACCAATTGCCAATTACCTCGCAAAAGAGGCTGTCGGTCATCCAAAAATCCGTCAACATGTGATCAACATTGCGCAGGTACATGTGCTGTTTTTAAATCGCTGTCTTAGATTTGAATCGTTTGTGTTATTCAGAATTTTGTCTAGTATACTTTTATGTGAGGTTCACACAGACATAATGAATTTTACATGATTATGTACCAGGCCAATCATAGGTTTAAAGTGAGAGTGCAAAGACGCATATATGATTGGCAATTGGTTTGGAAAATGTTTTCAGTGCAAGCGTTCCAAGCATGATCACAAGGCTGTCGGAAGCGGTGTAGATCTTCTAAAGGAGATCTTCGCATTCACGGCAAGGCATAATTATTTTACATATACATGAATAATTTTCATGATTCCTGATTGATAACAAAACAAATTAATAACAATTTGATTTTCATGCAAAATTCGTGCGAATTTCTCCACAATTTCTCCATACATGCAATGGTCTTCCCAAGGTCTCCACAATTTGATAATGTGATTTTCCTTCTATTAGGTTGCAGGATCTGCAGTCATCTTCAAGGTATCCGAAGCAAGAAAGGAAGAAGAACGATGCAGACAAGAGGATGAACTACTTGAACAGGAAATTGAACTACTTAGAGAGTACAATGAACTACTTAGAGAAAGGCTGCATCTTATACGAGAGCTAAAAAGGCAGAAGAATAAACTAGTTAGGCAACAAGAACTACAACATAGAGAGGACAATGAACTATTTGGAGAACTATTTGGAGAGGAGTTACAGGTTATCTTTTAGCCTTTCTGTCAGTTCTGGATTATGCATTATGAGAGTGGATTATGGATGGATTTCATAGAAGCAAAAGTATTTTTAGCATGGAAATATAAGCATGTTTTATCTCTGAATGCTATGAATGTTGGTGAATTTAAATTGACAATTTGTATGAAATTACAGTTTTTCTCATATAGGCTTAGTTTCACTTGTTTATTTTTATTTTATTTTTTTTCTTGGTCCTTGACATAATATTACAGTCTCTAAAACTAAGACAAGGTGATCATGAGTTCCCTCCTGCCTATCCTATTCTAAATAAAAAAATTTAGCACATGGTCGGGTTAACATATGCATTATTCATGATTCAAACTCAAATAATTTTTGTAAAAGGTTATTTTAAATATATAACCAATCATAAGACTTCTGCTTAAGGATATGCTCACCTTTTCATTATTTTGTAGGCGATAAATCTAAAGCAGAATTTCTTTGAAGAAACGGACAGTGAACATGAAGAAAAGCTTGAGATTAAACAACTTGCAACATTTGGCTTCATTCTTATCTTAATGCACACCCATGGCAATGAAGGTAGAAAGTCCAAATCTAACTGATTGTTGCAAAAGTCAAGTACTTTGCTTAGCTTTGCATGTGGTACGTAATACTTAGATTTATTCGAGTCATATACAGCAATTGATTTGAAAAGAAACGTAGTTGCTTTTAAGAATGTGAAATAAAGGGGATAGGATCATATATTAATTTCGGTAAGATACTACGTAACAGCCAAAAAAACAAAAAGGCTTGGCGCTAGTAGTGTCACTATCATTAAAAAAAATTGGCTGGCGCATGTAGCACCGTAATAACGTCAGTAGCGCCATGAATAAGAAATAAATTAGGATTGCAACGGCGGAAGTAACTGAGTAAAAGTCTTTGGTTTTTAGATTCGGATAAGATTGAGTAAGATATTTTAAAAGATTTAGCATGTGACTTGTATTTATATATGCTCCATTGCACATATATTTGTCATTATACTACACATGTAAGTGAGCTTGGGGTGAAGAAATACTTGAGGACTTCTTAACTTACTAAGATTTCTGCTAGAAGTCTCATCCCGTGTGGTACACATTTTCAGGTACATGTACTTTTGAGGTTGAGACCCCTCGTGGTAGGAGGTTGGAGTTCACTTGAAATGATGATGCACCTTGTCATTTTATTATGATTTGTCTTATTGTTATATCTTTATGACTATGTTGTCTTATTTGGTGAGCATAGGGGTTGTCCATGCCACAGTTGAATAAGTTGTGTTTATTTCGTACTGGAGTTGTATTATTGTATCAAAATTTGTCTGGTCTACGTGTTGTAGTTCCATGACTTGATACTATATTTATGTTAACGAGGTTACTCAATTTAGTTATTTATTGCAATTTACATACTGGAGGTTTTTGGAAAAGAATCACTAGATTCACTGAGTTAATATGATAAGATTCATAATATGAAATTTTAGCTTCCGTATTTATTGAGCTGCTCTTTTTACCATTTATATGTTTAATACACCGGGTTCACACGGGATGTTACAGAAATCAACAATGATTATGTTGGTTGTAAAGTTGGTAAACATTTTTGGTTGTAAGTATATTCTTATAAATATTAGTATATGATGAAATTTTGGTTGAAATTTTAGTATATTTTGATGTTATTTCTTTAAAAACAGTAAAAGTGTCGTTACTCTGTCCAAATATTTTCTTATAAATATTTTCCTTTGAATCTCCTTTATTCTTTTGATTTATCTATTATCTTTGAGTTTGTAGATTTGATGAATTTATTCATATTAGTTATAAGAATGATCTTGAATCAAGAATATAGAGTTTAATATATAATCTTTTACTGAATGATTCTGACGTGATTGACTTAAAAGGGGATCAGATGGTTATAGGGTAAGAGACATCTTATCATGGGGTGAGCTCTACCATAACTAACCCACAAAATTTAGGCATTCATAGAATTTGAGCATTAGTTATTTCAGTTAAAGACTACACATTCCTGTTTACAAAAAAAAAAGACTACACATTCCTTTATATGTTTGTATGCAGAAACCCACAAAGGTTTGGGTGTTTTGTATGTAGCACCCACAAAAGTTTGGATAGAACCCACAAAGATTTGGGTATGTCTGAATGAAGAACCCACAAAGGTCTTAGAAGAGTATTTTTGGCTGAGGAGTTGTGAGAAATCAAGAAATTGAGAGAATTCTTGGAAGCTCACGCTGGAGATCATGATTATGGAGAACTTGAAGATTGAAGATCATTGATTCTTTCTCTTCATCTTATTCTTTTCTTTTCTTATTATGAATTCTTTTTATTATTTTGAATTTTTCGAGTCAGATATGTCTGGCTAATTTTTCTTTGTAGTTGGGATCGGATCCGATGTGAATCCTTTATATGTTTTAAATTGTTTTTATAATTGTTTTCATTTAATTAGTTTTATTCTACCTGAATGAATTTTTCCATATCCTTTTTAGAATTGATCGCTCTATTATAGGGTTTTGAGGGTTAGAGCTCATAATAGGAATAATGGGGTTTTAATTTTGATAAGGTTAGAATAACAATCTGTGCATGATCTAGACATAGGCTTACATAGATTGTGGATTTTTAAATTCATCTGCTTAATGTTTGATTCAAGAGGGATCACTAGGATACAAGGATTCTAATTGAGTTAAAATGTTGAATACGCTAATATATTAGGGTTCAACTATTTAATATGGAAAAGATGAACTGTCTAAGCTAATGAATTAATTGATTATAAAAATTAATTAAGAATTATAAAGGAGGATCAGAGGTGAATTGCATCCTGTTGCAGTCTCTTTATATTAATCACTCATACTTTTTCTTACGTTCTTGATTATTCTCTAATGCTTTTGCTTATTACAGTCTTTAAATTTAATTCAGAAATTAATGTCTCAATTAAACTGAATTATCCAAATTAGAGGGAATAGTGAGAATAATAATTGGTGCATTAATCCTCATGGAAACGATCTTTTCTCATCACTATATTACTTGGAACGATTGGTATACTTGCCGAATTCGTAACAATGATTATTTATATTAATGCAATTTCAAAATTCTAATTTTCACGAACAAGAACAAATCTTTAAATTTGTAATCACAAAATAAAATTAATAATACAAACCTTCGACACATTGCTAATTTAATTTAAAGCAACGTGACTTGAAATTTTAAACAAAGGAGTTATAATAATAATAAAAGCAAAACCAGTGAACCGAGATACACAATGCAGTTACAAATTCAGAGCACAATAAAAAAAACCGAGATACATAATCTACTAAATAAGCGTTAGATATTAATACTAACGGTGTGCATTGCGAATTGAACTAAATTTTTTGAATAACTAAACCGAATTGATTTACATGGTTTGATTTGGTTTGAAATCAGTTTGATTCGATTCGGTTTGAAAACTATTCGATTCGGTTCGAAACCAGTTTGGTTCGAGTCGAACCTATTATAAAAAGAAAAAAAAAGTAATAAAATGATTCGGTTCAGTTTGAAACTAATTCGGTTCGGTTTGAAACTAGTTCGAGTCGAATTTATTCTGGAAAGAAAAAAATAAAGAAATAAAGTAATAAAACAAGTGAGTTCGATTTGAAATCAAATTGCTTCTGTTTGAAAATGATTCACTTCAGTTCAGTTCTTGAATTGATTTCTAAAATTTATTTTGGTTCTTGAACTGATTCTTTAAAAATCAATTCAACTAATGAATTACTTTTTAAAAATTGATTATTTTAAATACCAATTCAGTTTACAGTTCAATTTAAAAGAAAAATTTCTGTTGCACCTCCTTAATCATCACAACGCGAAAAAAGCAATTGAAAACACATCAATATGAGTTACGATCATGGTAGTTAAAATCTCGATTTAAATCTGTAATTTTATGATTTTATGATTTTTTTAATCAAAACGATTTCATTAAAATATCAAACGTTTTTACGATTTTTTTACTTTAGAATTTTACATTTTATAATTTTTTATCCTCCTTCAGATTTTAGGTAAAATCTTAATTTTAACTACCATAGTCACGTCCTTCGAGACACAAGTAACATAATGAAATGTGAAACGTACCGTACAATAATTGAAAAAGATAACAATATGTATGCACGTCGTACGAAATGAAAATAACAATATTAGCGCACAATTACCGAAAAGGAATTATATTTCAAATTCAACTTTTGAATGCAAAAGTGAAATCGAAACCGAAATGAAAATGCATGTTACGTAGGGTGTGTATGACAGCTATTCTATTCTCTAGCATTGTTTTTGAAAAAAAATTATTTTTTATTTTTGTGTCTTGGAACAGTTTCTGAGAAAAAACAATGTGTTTGATAACATATTCTATTTTTATTCCGAGAATGAGAATTGTATTTTATAACACAACAAATAATATAATAAAAAATAATTCCTATTAACTATAAAAAAATTTCAGATCATCACTTTCCTTTTCATATGGTGTGGTTGTGGTGGTGGTGAAGACGGCGGTACGGTAGTGGTGGTGGCAGTGACATGGTGAAGATAGTGGTGGTGGTTGTGACGGCAGTGGCTGTGACAATGGAAGTGGTAATGGTGGCGGCAGCGGTGGTAGTGGTGGGGATGGTGGTGGTGGAGGTGACGACAATGGCTGCGACAATGGTGGTGTGTATGGTGGTTGGTGGCGGCAACAATGGTAGTAGTGGCATGGTGGTGGTGGTTGTGAAGGCATCATGGTGGTGGTGTTGGCGATGACGTGGTGATGGTAGTGGCGGGGTGGTATAATGGTGGCGATGGTGGTGGTGGTGACAGTAATGACTGTGACGATGGTGGTGGTGGTTGGTGGTGGCGGCGGTGACGACGACGATGGTGGTGACGGTAGTGGTTGCGGCAATGGTAGTGGTGGTTGGTGACAGTGGTGGTGATGGTAGTGGTGGCGTCAATGAGGGTGGTGGTAGTGATGGCAATGAGGGTGGTGGCGGTGGCGTGTGATGGCGATGGTCGCGGTGACAACAGTGGTTGCAATGATGGTGGCGGTGGTTAATAGCGGTAGTGGTGATGGTGACGGTGACGGTGATGGTGAAGGTGACAGTGATGGTGGTGGTGGTGGCAGCGGCTGTAGTTGTGGTGGTGGTGACAGTGGCATGGTGGTAGTAATGGATGGAGGTGGTGGTAATGGTGGCGGTGGCATCGTGGTGGTGAGGGGTCGTGACGACGACACTAGTGATACGATGGCGGCGGCGATGATGGTTGCAGCAGTCATTTCGGGATAATGGTGGTGGTGGTGGTGATGATGGTTGAGGTGGAGAGTGATTGAAAGAGATAAGTGTTTCTCATTTTGTGTCTGGGAACAAAAAAGCAGAAATTTTTTGATTCTTTTTTCCGTTCCCTAGCACAAAAATTTAACCGGTTCATCTCGTGAACAAAAAAATAAACCGATTTTACTAAACAAGTTTCCTATCTATTTCTGTTTCCGGGAACATAAATTTAAAAAGAATTGATTCCGAAAATATTGTCATGCACACTCTTAAACTGATGAGTTGATGATATATATAACTGATGAGTTGATGAGATATATATAT